TCTTTCTTTCTTTCTTTCTTTCTTTCTTTCTTTCTTTCTTTCTTTCTTTCTTTCTTTCCTTTCTTTCTTTCCTTCTCACACACACCCTCCTCCCTTCTTCCTCCCTCCCTTTTCCTTCCCTCTTTCCTTCCTTCGGATGGCTTGAGGGCGGCGGCGGCGGCGGGGCCGGCCTGCCCGGGACGTTTCCCAGACTCGGGGATCCCGCCGCAGAACCGGGGAGGGGAGCGGGGAAGGGGGGAGGGCCCTGCTGCAACCGGCTGCTTCAACAATGGCGGAGGGGGGCCCGAGCCAGAAGAGGACTCCCCTCTACCGGAGCGTCTCCTTCCAACGCTTGGCCAAGTGGACCGGGCCGGCCCAGCCCGACGGAGGAGGAGGAGACTCTCGGGGGGAGCCTTCCCCGCCCAGCGCGGAGCACCCGCCGCCGCTGGAGCCCATCGGGCGGCGATCCCCCGGCCGCGCCGCTTCGTTCAGCGTCTCCTCCCGCCCAGCAGCCGCCGAGCCGGCCGGCCGCGCCCTGCGGAGCCTCTCGCCCTCCGTGCGGCAACTTTCCCAGCGCTTCTGCGCGCCCCGCGCCGGCCCCGAAGACCAGCCTCTTGCAAGCCCGGCCCGCCGCCGCGGAAGAGCCACCTGCGCCCGCCCCGCCGCCGCCGCCGCCGCCCAGAAGGAGCTCGGGGGCTCCGAGGCCGGCGGGCCGCCCCCGACCCCGCCGCCCCGCAGCAGCAGCAGCGCCGCCACCGTCTCCTCCTCCTCCTCCTCTTCTTCTTCTTCCTCCAAAGGGCCGGGCGAGGCGCCGGCGCCGGACTGGCCCAGCGTGACGGAGATGCGCAAACTTTTCGGCGAGAGTTTTCGGCGGCAGCAGCAGCAGCAGCAGCAACGGGCGGCCGAGCGAGGACGGGGCGGCCCGGGCGAGGACGGGGCTGGCCCGCCGCGGAGCAAAGCCACCGACCCCCCGGGGGCTCCTCTGCCTCCCGACGGCGGCGGCCCGGCTCTGGACGGGCTCTGCTGGGCCGAGGAGGAGCGTCGGAGCGTCCCTCCGCCGCCGCCGCCCCGCAGCTGCATCCCTTTCGCGGGGCTCCGGCCGCCACGGGGCCCCCCAGGCCCGTCGGAGAGGCCGCCGCCGCCGCCTCAGCTGTGGGATACTTCGCATTCCTGGCATAGTTCGGCCTCGCCGGCCCTCCTGGCCGCCTCGCCGGCCCCCTGCCCAGCCTGGGGCGGCTGGGTGGCCCCCGAGGTCTCCAGCAGCAGCGAGGAGGAGTTGAGGCCTTCGCCGGGCTTGGGCCCCGGGCCTGCCCTGAAGAGCCCCCCAAGGGCCTCCTCAGACAGTGAGGAGGAGGAGGAGGCCCGGGCGGTGCCCCATAGACGCTCCCTTCGGAGGAAGAAGAGGGAAACTGAGGCCCCGGAGGAGGCCAGGGTGGTGGCTGGCATGGAATGGCACCTCAAGGCCCAGCTGGACCTTTCTGGGGGTCTCCTGCCCCCCCAGGAGGAGGAGAGGACGACCCCAGCTCCAGACGCCAAAGGGGCTTCGGTTGCTGAGGGTCCCAGACGGCCCTTGGGGGGTCCCCCTGAGGGCAGCAGGCCCTTCCTGGGCCCCCCGGCCCCCCTTTCCTTGGGGCCTCCCCTGCCTCTGGTGTCCCGGGTCTCCAAGGTCAACATCCCCCCCTTTGCCTCCAGCCCAGCCGGCTCCCGGAGCAGCAGCAGATACTCCAGCACGGAGACCTTGAAAGAGGACGAGCAGCCCGGGGTCTCTTGGACCGGGCCGAGCAAGCCGGGTCTCGGCATGGGCCGGCCCCCCGCTTTCAGCCCAAGCGACAGCCCTGCCAGGTTGCAGGCCCCCGTCCTCCGTGCCCGGCCCAAGCTGCCGTCCGGGTTGGGGAGGTCCAGGCAAGAGTTGTCCTCTTTTGAGAGTTTGCTGCCTTGCAGCTTTGAACCGGCGGCCAGAACCAAGCACCAAAAGAAGTCCATGTCCAACCCGGACATTGCCAGCGAGACCTTGGCCCTCCTCACTTTCCTGAAATCGGACCTGTCAGAGCTGAAGGCCAAGAAAAGAGCCAGCAGGTTGAGTGACCAAGAAGACGTGGCATTTGGCGGTGAGGGGGTCAGCCGATATGAACCCTGTCTTCAAGGACGAACCGAGCACCCGTCGTTGGGCAGAACTCAAGGTGAGGTCCCGCCACCAAACCATTGGGTCTTGGGCCAACGTCCAACCCTGAAGGACCTCACGGCGACCCTGAGACGGGCCAAATCCTTCACTTGCTCGGACAAGCCGGCCTCCCGCCGCCTTTGCCTGCAAAACGCCATGAAGTCCAGCTCTTCGGAGCTTCTGCTGGCCACTCGCTTCGACCACAATGGTGTGGTTTCCGACAGCCGAGACAGGGAGGAAGATATGCTCCCTGTAATCATTCAGGATCAGTACATCCAAGAAGCCAGGCAAGTGTTTGAGAAGATAAGTAAGATGGGCTCAGAACACGGCTATAATTTTGCTTCCGAGTCCAAGGAAAGGGGGAAGGACGGGACGGAGGAGGGAGTAGAGAAAGAAGAAAACTGCAGTCGGTGCTTGGAGGAAGCTGGTCCTGAAGGAAACCTGCCCTGCGGGAAATCTTTAGAAGAAGGTCCTGAATCCAGTATGACCGATGAAGGAATTGTGACCGAGCCAGAGACACCGCCAGCCTACAGTTACCTGGATCCTTCCGTGGCCGCATGGAAATTGGCCAACCGAAGAGGAACTGAGGCCGCTTCTCTGGAGAGGAAGGAGACGCTTCTCTCAAACCATTTCACCAAAGGGAACGACGACGTGGCCGTCGTGGATGAGGGGCTCCCCAATCATAAGACGGCGTCCCAGGGATTGTCGGAGACGCCCCTGACTCCCAGCGCCCTTCGGCGACGGAGGAAGTTCCCATCCTTGGGAAACAACGGTTCCGAATCCAGCAACGGGAGCAGCGGGGAATCCAGCGTCGATTCCTACCGGTCTCTCAGCGACCCCATGCCCCACAGAAGGTGCTCCATTACAGAGGAGGCCAAGAACTTCTCCGTGGATAGCAACCTCCTGGGGTCGCTGAATTCAAAGCCCGGAATCTTAGACGCTTCTGCCGTGGCTTTGTCGGATTGCACGGGGAGCGCCGCCAGCGACCTCTCGGTCTGCAGCGATGGCCTGAAGGATTACAGCACCGTGATCCAGAACATCGTCAGCCAGCCCGGGGCCATGGACAAGGTGATCGACGAGAAGGGCAATGGGAAGCCCATCAAGAAGAAGTCCTTCAGCGACCCCAGCCGCCGCGGCGAGCATGCCAACCCGGGCTTCATGGGTGCCGGAGAACCCATCAACGAGATGGAGCAGAACATCCTGCCGTCCAGCAGTGAGCCCATCCTTTCGGGCCAGTCGGCGGAGCAGGACGCGCGCAGGTTGTCCTCCCAGTCGGAGCAGGCTCTGCCGATGCCGTCGGAAGCCCACGAGGTCCCTCAAAACTTCAGCTTCGATCCCAAGCTGGCGGAGGTCTTGTCGCCGAGGATAGTCCGGCGAAGTTCCAAGAAGCGCAGCGACCGAGCGAATCACCAGGAGAGCAGGAAGGACGAGACGGCGCTGTCTCCCACCGTGCCCACCACGATGGGCAGGGCAAGGCCCGCCTCCAAGCACATGCGCCACACCAGTGAGCCTGCCACCTTCCTTCCCATCGCCAGTGCCCACCTGCCCGCTTCGCTCTGTCAGAATGCCCACCCTGTCATCCAGGGGCTTCCGCACCTGCCCGCCAAACTTTCAACACCTCTTCCCGTTCCATCCTTGGAGGATGTGACCAAGCACTACATGTTGACTCTCAGTTCGGGGGAAGCCCTGCCCAACAACACTGCGGATACCCCCAGATCGTCTCCTTCCACGCCAACCACGACGGAACCCAAACTCCCCAGATGTCCCAAGCACCATGGAGATGTGAACGCCGGCAGCCCCAGGACCAAGCCACAAGTGGTGAGTTGTTGTGGTTTTTTGGTCTTTGTTTTGTGGAGTCTAAAAAAAAAAAAGTATTGGCTGGCTAATGGTTAAGTTCTTAGTGACTTGTTTTGATAAGGTTCTGCATCAGCATTTGGGGACCAGGGTTAAAATTTTGCAGACCGAGTTGTCACCTAAGATTGTTTGCTCGGACGACACGCGGGACCTGAATGTCATTGTCTTCCCCAGCGTCACTTCTGGTGGGACTCTGGTAATATCACACCTTTGCTTTGAGCATGGTTGTGTGCCTAGGTACAAAGACACGGGCGTGAAATAGTCTTGTCAAAGTATTTTGGTTTCGAGTCCTTGTGGCAAGTAAGCACAGAGGCTTGTAGTAACAATTGGTCTTGCTTACTGTTTGCTAGGTTTCATGCAACCGAGTTGTTAATATAAACGAGGCTTGTCGTGGTGGCGTTTTTAAGGTCTGAAGGAGGAATTGGGCTATGTGGCACACAAGGCCTGTCTCTCTTATTATTATTACCCTTGTTGCGAGAGCACAACCTGTGTACAATGAGATTGGCTGAGCCTCCCTTCGTGCACCCCCCCCCCAACACAACTCACAGTGAGGACAGAAGTCCCTAACCCAATCCCAATCTTAATACTCTCTGTGACCTTGTCGCACAAAGTGCCGGCCCCGCAAGTCTATCATACTATGAGGAGTTGTGTTGTTGTGAGGTGAGGGTGAGGACTCAAACACCCATCTAGTAGAGCAGGGGTCTTCAAACTTGACAGCTTTAAGACTGGTGGACTTCAACTCCCAGAATTCCTCCTCCAGTCGTGTTAGCTCGGGAATTCTGGGAGTTGAAGTACACAGGTCTTAAACTTGCCAAGATGGAAGATCCTTGGATTAGAGAATAGAATATTTTAGAATAGGATACTTTATTGGTCAAGTGTGATTGGACACACAAGGAATTTGTCTTGGTGTAAATACTCTCAGTATACATAAAAGAAAGAGAAACAGATAAGATAGATAGATAGATAGATAGATAGATAGATAGATAGATAGATAGATAGATAGATAGATACTGTAGATCAGGGGTCTTCAAACTTGACAGCTTTAAGACTTGTGGACTTCAACTCCCAGAATTCTTCCTCCAGTCAAGTTGGCTCAGGAATTCTGGGAGTTGAAGTACTCAAGTCTTAAACTTGCCAAGATGGAAGACCCTTGGATTAGATAGAAAGACAGACAGACAGACAGAGATGGAAAATAGATACTGTAGACCAGGGCTCTTCAAACTTGACAGCTTTAAGACTTGTGGACTTCAATTCCCAGAATTCCTCCTCCAGTCATGCTAGCTCAGGAATTCTGGGAGCTGAAGTCCACAAGTCTTAAATTTGCCAAGTTTGAAGACCCTTGGATTGGATGGATGGATGGATGGATAGACAGACAGACAGATGAGAGAGAGAGACAGATGTGTGTGTTTGTGTGTGTGTGTGTGAGAGAGAGAGAGAGAGAGAAAGGGAGGGAGGGAGGGGGAGAGGGAGATAGAAGATAGATACTATAGATCAGGGGTCTTCAAACTTGACAGCTTTAAGACTTGTGGACTTCAACTCCCAGAATTCCTCCTCCAGTCATGTTAGCAAAGGAATCCTGGGAGTTGAAGTCCACAAGTCTTAAACTTGCTAAGTTTGAAGACCCTTGTAGTAGAGTATCACAACATAGGCCAAAGTCTAAGGAAGTGTTTCATAACTCTGTCCACCTTTAAGATGGGTGGACTTCAACTCCCAGAATTCTTAGCATCGGCCATGCTGGCTAGGGAATTCTGGGAGTTGAAGTCCACACACCTTAAAGTTACTGAGGTTGGGAAAGACCAGGTGTAGTGCACATATAAGGGACGATTAGAAGATACAGATGCCATTGAATTAAGCGCGACTCTTTATGTCTCTGTGATCATTGGGTCTTATTTTGGGGGGCAATGCAAGTGGTCCTAGACTTACGACCACAACTGAGGGCAAATTCTCCGTTGCTAAGCAAGGCCGTTGGGTTTTGCCTCATCTTATGACCTATTTTCCCCACAGTTGCTAACTGTATCACTGCAGGTGCTAGCAAAATGGTTGGGAAGTAGATCCCATTGACTTTTGCCAGAAGGTCACAAAACGAGATCCCACGACCCCAGGATACGGCAACTGTCATAAATACGAGCCAGTTGCCCAGTGCCTGAATTTTGATCCTGTGACCAAAGGGGGTGATGCCGTAGTTGTAAGTATGAAAAAGCCGCAAGGCACTTTTTTCAGGGCCGCTATAACTTCAGCCACTGAAAGAACCGTTGTAAGTCAAGGATTGCCTGAGCTAGAATACTGTAGTATCTGGCCATGGGGCTGGGGGATGTGTTACTACACTGCAGAAATATTTGATCTCACCCATCTCTGCTTAGGACCTCACTCAATTCTGGTCTGGGGTCCTTGTTGCTCTCTGAGCTTGGCTGTTTTCCTGCAGACGTTTCATGATCCAACTAGGTAGCATCATCAGTGCTAGAAGGAAGGGGGGGGTGTTGTGTAGAAGAGGTGGTGGTGGAAGAGGAGGAAATAATTTTGGGGTCCTTGGTGTTCTCTGAGCTTGGTGATTTTCTTGCAGACGTTTCATGACCCAACTAGGTAACACCATCAGTGCTACAAAGGAGTGGAGGCTTCTTCTCAGCGAGCAAGTTACTTGTTTATAAACAAAGAGGAAAATCCACCTCCTTCTAGCACTGGTGATGTTACCAAGTAAGATACTGAAACATCTCTACGTAAACAACCCAGCTCAGAGAGCACCGAGGACTCCATAGGCCGCCTCCTCATCTCATCCTCCACAAACTCTACTCCCTTCTAGCACTGATGATGTTACCTAGTTGGGTAACGAAACGTCTGCAAGAAAACAACTCAGCTCAGAGAGCACCGATGAGCCCACAGTCTTCCTCTTCCTCCTCCTCTCCTCCTCTTCCCCTGTTCCTCTCCCCCTCTCCCTCTCCTCCTCCTCCTCCAACCCCACCTTCTTCTAGCCCTGATGATGTTACCTAGTTGGGTAATGAAACGTCTCCAAAAAAAACCCACCAACTGAGCCCAGAGACCACCAAGGACCTCCCCATCCCCAATTCAATCCTGAGCTAAAAAGCCGCCTCTTCTGCTGATAACACTGAATGGTGAGCTGAGCGTCAAACAGACCCCATTTAATCCTTCCCAAACTTCACCTGCAACCAGTCAGTTTCCACAAAGGCGAAACCGGTCTGCCTGTTTGTAGAGGGCATTGGACCACAACTCTCATCATCCCCAGCCGGGAGAAGGAAATGCCGGCTATCCAACAACCCATTTGGTAGGCGAAGCATGTAATTTGCAGTTGCCTCCCTTAGACAGTAAATTATACACACGCCAGAAAGTTGCATGTGGCGAAAGAGACACGGATGGAGGGCCTGGGTTTAAGTCCCGCTGAAAGCAATATTGGAGGTGAGCATGGAAACCTGGACTGGACGACACCAGAGGAGATGGGCTTGTCCTGGACCAGGGTTTTTGTGAAGGGGCAACCCATGTGCTGAGGTCCGTACAAAACTCAGGTTGCACCACATGTTGGAATAGACTAAAAGAGAGTTGCGTGGTTATTGATTTGATCACTTTTTGTACCCCATGACTATCATTAAGTGTTGTACCTGATGATTCTTGACAAATGTCTCTTTTCTTTTATGTACACTGAGAGCATTTGCACCAAGACAAATTCCTTGTGTGTCTAATCACACTTGGCCAATAAAGAATTCTGTTCTGTTCTGTTCTATTCCCATATTCTATTCTATTTTATGTTCTGTTCTTTTCTATTCTATTCCATTCTACATTCCAATATTCTATTCCATTCCATATTTTCTTTTCCCATATTCTATTCTATTCTATTCTATTCTATTCTATTCTATTCTATTCTATTCTATTCTATATTCTGTTCTATTCTGTTCTGTTCTATTCTATTCTATTCTATTCTATTCTATTCTATTCTATTCTATTCTATTCTATTCCATTCCATTCCATTCCATTCCATTCCATTCTATTCTATTCTATTCTTTTATATTCCTAATTCTTATTTCTGTTCTGCATTTTTCCCTATTCTATTCTATTAGTTCCCATTCCTATCCTATCCTCTATATTATTGTATTCCTATTCTGTTCTGTTCATATGAATCAGCATACAGGTAATCCCCGACTTACGACAGTCCCATTTAGTGACCACGGCACTGAAAAAAGTGACTTACGACCGTTTTCCCACACTTAATGACCGTTGCAGCATTGCCCACGGTCACGTGAGTCCAAAATTCAGAAGTTTGGCAAGTGACTCGTATTTGTGACGGTCGCAGCGTCTCCGGGGGGGGGGGGGTGTCACACGATTCCTCTTTTGCGACCTTCCAACAAGCAGAATCAACAGGGAAGCCAGATTCACTTAACGACGGTGTTACTAAGTTAATAACTGCAGAGATCCGCTTTAACAACCATAAGCAAGAAAGTTTTGTAAGGTGGGGCCAAAGTCACCCAACAAACGTCTCACTTATCAACCTAAATGTTGGGCTCCGTTGTGGTTTGTAAGCGGGTGGCTTTTTGTAACAACTGCAGGGATTCAGTTGGCCAGAAAGGTTGTAAAATGGGACAAAACTCACAAATGTTCGGTTTAACAACAGCCACGTTGGCCTCAGTTGTGGTTGTAGGTGAGGGGCCACCTGTATTTTGCATTCTTGTGATTTATTTTGACTGGGGACCTGTTGCATTTTGGGGCCCGTTTAATATCGTGATGTTGCTGCATTTGGGACCCTTGCTTCCGAAAAGGAATTCGCCATGTGTCTGCTGGTATTTTTTGTTCTGTGCAAAAAGATAGTCACTTTTTTTTCTTTTCTTTTTTCTTTTTTTTGGATAATCCTCCGGCTATTTTAATTTTAGCCAGCCTTGGGATAATGCAAAGGAATTTAAAAACAGCCCTGGGACGGAAAATAAACTCCCAACGGATTAAATAAAAGGCTTCTGGAGAGAGAG